GGGAGGTGGCTGACCGCCCAGCCACTTAAGGATTGCCTGGAACATGCCGTTTTATTTACAGGGCAGAACTGGGCTCTGATGGTTTCCCCTGCACTTGCCTTTAAATTAGTAAAATACCACCCTTTGGTAATGTTGAGTGCCACGTCTGCTTTAGAGGGAAGGAGGAGACAACTGCAGCTCCAGGGTTCGGTGGCGTCCCACCTTTATAAACGCCTTTAGTGTTGAATTTTGTAGGTTGATCCTGAGGAAGTGATAAGCAGGGCAGGTTATTTGTGGTTTGAGCTAATTTTAGTCTCTTGTTCACAGCTCGCTTTATATCCTTTGCCATCAAAACATGCTTTCTAGAAAGACAAATTTTGAATGTAGGACACGATCTATATTCTAGTTGGCTACATTTCAAAAAATGTTTTCTCAGTGCTTTGCAAGTTAGACAGTTTGAGGTACAGCAGTGTTATTTTAAAGTCATTGATTCCTTTGCTTAGTGACGCCTCTTGCTTTTCCAGCAAGTAGACAAACTTCTTTCACAGAGGTTTGGAATGAGTGCTTCAAGCCAGTGGTTCAGAAGGCAAGGTGGATGGCAGATGGCTCTAAAAGGTTCTGACCATCCCTGCTCAAGTAAGGCTTTGCTGGTGGTGAATAGGAGCCATCCCCACCCTGTCCCCTTGATAGAGGTTGATAGAGCCTTTTGTTTTCAAAGGCAGGACCCCATCTGTGCTTATACTGGTTAGTCTGACCCAGAACAGTTGTAGGTCATAGCCCCTGGGTTGCCCTTACCCATCCACCCTGCACACGTGCACCCTGAGGACATGTGCAGTCTTGTAAAAAGAGGACTCGGAGCCTGGGTCAGGCTCTGCATCTGCCTCTGGTGTTGTGTGACCTTGAGTTAGATGCACCCACATCTGTAAATGTGGTGGACAGACCAGACAGCCTGAGGGCATGGGCATGTCATGACTCCATGGTCAAGTGCACAGCCCATGAGGAGGGTGACCTTTCTGGAAAAAATGGGGCTTCATGTCCCACTCATGCTGGATTTGGTGGATTTGTGTGGCACTTCCATGATCCCTCATTTAAAAGTGGGCAAAGCTTTAAAATTTCACGTTGACTCAAAGCTTTAAGAACCCATTATGTCCTTAGAAATGAGGGCATAGACCAGATTGTTATAGAGTGCTGAGAGCCACATGGACGAATGCAGTTCCCCTGAAGCCCTTCTTATTCTAAGGAGATTGTTGGGCTTGGTATTTGGACCAAAATCTTCTGCTCGAGGGCCTGCTGGCGTTCTGCCCTGGTCCAGGATAGAGCCACAGAGCTGCGGTTATGCAGTTCTGTCTTGTGTCCCAGGCCTCGTGCACATTTAAGAGCAGGTCATTGATGAGGCACTGTCCGTGGTCTAGAGAGGCAGGAAGTGTTCGAGGAGGGTCAGGTCTCAGAGCCTGCTCCAGGCTCCTGAATCCAGCCTCCAGGAACTCTGGCAGGGCGCCTGTTGCCTCAGCGTCCCAGGGTGTCCCAGGGTGGCTGCGGGTGAGCCTCCCTGATTTACTGAGAACAGGAAGAGATTGTAGTTTTTGACCTTTGCCCAGGTTTCTAACCTCTCACCTAGATGTCACGAGTTGGCCACCCACAGTCTCATTTTGCTTGGTCCACACAGTGTTTTAGAAAACAGAGGAATTTAAATTTTTTTGGCCATTGGTAATAAGAAATCAGGAAAAATCACCTACAAATCTGGATTTCTGGCCTCTTTAAAAAAGTGAGAACTGCACCATCTGAGCCCACGCAGCGGGCATTGGCTGGACCGAGGCCTGGGCTCCTTCGGATGGACATGTCTGAGCTCTGTAGACCTGCCGTGGTCCCTCGGCAGGCCTCTGTGTCCTTGTGTCTGTGTGCTACCTGGTCCCTGGAGGCACTTGGGTTGCAACCCTTCCTCCAAGCTGGCTTATTCTCAGTAGTAGAACCGCCACGGGGCTTAGCCTTGCTGTGGTGGTGTGTCATTAGATGAATCCACAGAGGGGCTGGTGGCCGAGCCCGGGCTCCTGACAGCAGGAGCCGGGTGCTGTCTCCCCCTGCGCTCCCCTTGTCTCTGCCTCAGCCCCCTCCTGCTGTTTTGAGGAAGTTGGAAGCCACTGCCATATTTTTCCACACCGGGCAACTGAGTGTGACTGTATTTTTGTCCCATGTTCAGCTATTTCCACGAACTATTTTTGATGACTAACTTACAAGTTAAATGCAATGGCCCTGTAGGAATTGATAAAAAGAATAATTTGCCCAAGGGTACCCGTTGAGAAATCTAAGCAGTCGTGTTTTATTTCATGATTACTTTGTTTTAGGGTTAAGAGCGGTGTCGTTTGTCCTGTGACTGGGCCGTGACTAGATGGTTTCTCTCCCTGCAACTCTGCCTGGGGATTCAGTGAATGGTGCCACAATTAAAAGAAGACAGCGTCAGGTGACAGGAATGCGCAGGGTTGAGGGCTTCCGGGTCCCTGCTGGGACAGCAGTGTCACTGTGTTGTGTGCTCCATCCCTGATCCTTCTGAACCTCTGTCGTCCACAGAGTATGTTGTGTGTGACAGATGAGAATGAGCAGTAGGTCAGGGTGATTCTTTGCCAAATAGTCAAGGCCTTTGGCCTAAGTTTTGTTCCTTGCCCTTCAAAGCTGCATCCCAGAAGGATGGAAACGGGGTGGCCGTCAGCACTCCTGGGTCTTGTGGCAGATGGCTTAGGCACTTCCTGCTTTTTCAGGTATGTAGAATTAAAATCAGCTGGACACGGATGGCTCCACGACGCTTTCTCTCCAGCCTCCATTCCCTCCTCTCTCCTGGTGGGGCCGCTCACTCGGCTCTGAGCACACACCCTGCAGCCAGGCGGAGCGGCTCCGTGGTGGGCAGCGGGGAGCAGTGGAGCCCTGCCCTGGCAGCAGAGGGCCCGCAGGGAGACCCCAGCTCAGAGCCAGGTGCAGCCAGGCCTGGTGCCCTTCGGATCCTCCACGGGGGAGCTGAGTGTCACTGGGAGCAGGCCAGGAGGCGGAGGCGGGCTGTAGAGGCGCTCGGTGGACCCGAGGGGCAGGGAAGGAGGAGTGAGCCTGTGCTCTGTGCACCTTACCCTTGTCCTCCTCCTCCGTTCCTGGTAAGTGGACTTGACCGCCTGGGATCACATTTAAGCTGCTTCTTCTGTGGTGCAAACTTCCCCCAAGTGCACTACCTTAGGACCTGGACCTTGTGCCTTATGCCACCAGGTAGTGGAGGACCATCCTCAGTGACCTCTCCCTGCAGGTGGTGTCTGGGTGGCTTCTCTCTACGGAGACGGGAGAAGTGTGTGTGTCTCACTGTCAGCTTACAGCGCAGAGCCCCAAACCACAGGTGCTGGTGGAAATGAAGTAAAACTTTTAGCCAAGTATGTGCACAGAGAAACTTTAGTCTGCAGAAAAAGTGGAATTATACTTTGATATGTAAAATAGAAATTTTGAAAAAGAATCTTCAAATGTTAGCCTGGCACAAGAATACATTGAAAATGCGCAGGTAGCCCCTGGCCTCTAGCTGACGCAGAGAGTCAGGGCCTCCTGCATTTGCTGCGAGTTTTAAGAGCATATTTTGTGAGGTTGGCTGGCCTGTCCCGTTTTGTGGTCTGGGTATTAACAGTTCTCATTATGCAAATGGCTTTGTATGAATGAGTCTTTCAAGTCAACTACCTTGTAAAACAACCTAAGTTGGCTGATAATTATCTTTTTTTTTGTTTTTTAAAGGCTGAGTGATAGCCCTTTATTTTTAGGCATTCACTTTAGATAGGATTACAAATTCTGAGATATTTATGGTTGCTTAAACTTAAAAACAGAAATTATCTTGAGTAATGATTTTCTGATGGTTCCCTGTTTTGCATTTCCACATTAATCTCTTCCCTTGCTGTATAGATAAGCAGCTGGGACCAGTCCCTGCAAACTGTTCGAACTGTGAAAGAGAGCCCCTCTTTTCTTCCTTTGAATTCTAGCTATGAAGATTGTGTACAGAGGTAGTTTTTAAAACATAGTTGCCAATTACTAATCCCTTGAAGATCTGAAAAGGAAGGGTTTTCCTTACAAATGTAAGACAAGGGGGAAGAAAAGCTATTTGGACTTTTTTCTTTAATAGTGAAGTTGATGATTTAGTGGTTTTATTCCCCCCTTCTGATTTTTTAAAATTAATTAATTTATCAGTATTAGGGATTTGACCCAAGGGTGCTTAACCATTGAGCCACATCCCCAGCCTGTTTTATGTTTTATTTTGAGACGGGCCTTGCTAATTTGCTAAGGCTGACCTTGAACTTGTGATCCTCCTTCCTCAGCCTCCCGTGTTGCTGGGGTTCTAGATGTGTGCCACCACACCTGGCCTGGTTTCATTTTGGAGTCAGTTAGGAGTCACTGACTAGATATGGTAGAACACACTTGGAAGAAGCATATGGGTGAAGGCGAAGAGCACTAGCTCCCAGGCCTCTTGACAGAATCACTAAAACCCAGCCATTATGTGGCCAAACTGTGTGGGGGAGGCCGCTGTTTTCAAGAAGGGGTTGGGGAAGGATGAACTCAGCTGTGCCAGCTCCGGACACGACCCCCTGTTTGTTGGTTATGTTTTGTTTTCTAATTTGCTGAAAAGAGTGAAAACACTTGAGATGGTTGTTCTCCAGGGCTGGCTGTGTGTGTGTGTGTGTGTGTGTGTGTGTGTCCATCCCTGCAAGGCTTCCTAGTCCATAGATTGCCGTTGAGGGACCATGTGACCATGCCCCCAGCAACGCGCGCCCTGTGCCCCTGTGCCCCACTCCCCTGTTTTCGGGCCACAGCCTGCTTTTGTTTTTCAGGCTCCCCCCCCATCCCCCATGTCAGGGTCCCATCAGTGAGCACCTCACTCGTCCTGGGGCACTTCACAGCCCTCTCTCCTTGCTCTCGCCCTCCCTGCCTTTGACATTTGGTCCCTAGACCTGCTGTCCAGGCCCAGCCTGTTGTGCTCCTGAGCCCCCCCCCCCCAGGCCCCTCCCCGGGCTTTCTCCTTCATCCGAGGCCCAGCTGTTCGCCCCTTTCTCTCCTTCCCCTTCACTTTTCTCCTTTGCAGCGAGACCTCAGTCAGTCACTCTGAGCATGGCCTCTCTCAGGCCTTGCCATCCTCTTACAGCGTGGCGCCTTGGACAGCCAGTGCCCGCCTTCTCCAGGACTCACAGTGCTGCTGCAGGAAGTCAGGCTGGCAGAGGGGGACCGCGAGTAGCCCAGCCTTTGATCTCAGGTCTGTCTCCATCGGTTCTGACCCTCAGGCCTGAAGTGACCTGCCATCCTCCTTGCTTCAGTTATCTCATAAGGAAAAAGGAGGCTTGGTTTCTACCTAAGGCTCCAAGCCAGGCATGGGGACCTGGTTTGTAATCCCTGAAATTTTGGAGGCTGAGGCAGGAGGATTGCAAGTTTGAGGCCAGCCTCAGTAACTTAGTGAGACCGTTTCAAAATAAAAATTAAAAAGGACTGGGGATGTGGCTCAGTGGTAGAGTGCCCCTGGGTTCCATCCCCAGTACTGGCAAAAAGGAAAACTAAAGAAGGGTCTGAGCATAGACACCCTCTCACCCTGCCTGTTCAAGGTATCCTGCCCACGTGGCCTAATGACCTTCCTAGGATGTCCCCTTCAGCCCTCCCACTCTATTGCCATTTTATATGGGCTGCCCTCCTGCCTCTGCGCTGTAGTGTAGTTGGCTTCTCTTTTATTTTAAAGATAAGTCAGTGCCTGTGCCTTTGTTCACCTCTGTCACTCCTTGACCAGGGAGGCTGGGCTCCCCTCACCAAGCCGCTGGGATGGCTTCTGACCAGGTGCCCCTCGGCTTCCTTTCTGCTAAGCCAGTGGGCACGCGGCGTCCTCAGTGCCATTCAACACGGTGACCTCTCTTTGCTCCTTGAGTGCTCTCCCTGGGATTCAGTTCTCTCTGTTCCTCCTCGAGCTCAGCCTGGGCTTGCTGGCATCTTCTGTTGGCTGGGTCCCTGGGGGAGCTCCTCGGGCTGCGCCCCAGCTCTTCTTCCTCCCCTGCCTCTTGCCTCCTTTGTTCACCCAGGGATCGCAGTGGCCTTGAACTCAAGAGTGTGGGCCCTGCTGCCACCTCTGCAGCCTTCAGAGGCTCTGATTCCTGCCCGGGCGACGCTGGCGCTCTGGAGCCTGGCGAGTGCTGCTTCCTCTTCTGGAACGTTCTCCCTCCGCCTGGCACATGCCTCTTCTTCCCTCCAGTCTCCTCGCAGGCCTCTCTTCAGGATGCTTTCTCTCCTGTTTTTGTTTCCAGGCCCAAGTGAGGAGCCTCTTCGAGGTCCCACCACAGTCCCCTGGACTGTCCCTTTCATGACATCCTGTGGTGATGCTGTTACACCCACTGTTCTGGTGCTGGTTACTTACTGCGGGGGCAGTTTTATTTCAGCCATTGTGTCCCTTAATCCCCCAAATGGGGCCCGGCCTATGGGAAGGCCCAGTGAGTTGTCCCTGAATGAACAGAAGAGCTGTGCTGTTTAGAAGGTTCAGGAACCGGCACCGGGATGAGAAGGGAGGGTTCTGGTGTTATGAAACCATGTCACTGGCCCACCATCCTTTAGCAGACACTTTGTCTTCTCGGTCCCTTTTATCCTCATTTCTGGGTGGCGTACCCCAGTGAGGCCATAAGCCTTCGCTGGGCGGGGACCATGCGTAGTTCCTGGCGTGCCCCTCACAGTGGCTCACACGTCCTGGGCTGTCCTAGCTCAGATGGGACTTGATGAACTAAGTCTCTGTGACCTGCCTTTGTCTCCATCAACTGGTTCTGTCCCCACCACTCTTGAGGGGCACTTTCCTCTCGGTCGGTGGGTCGTGGGTGGTGTGAGAAGGTCCCCTGGCTCAGGCTTCCTAAGTTTGGAAGCTGGTTCTGGCCAGTGCTGACAGGAAGCAGAGGGAGTTAGTCACCTTGCAGGAAGCCAAGCTGTCGTTAGCACCTGGCTTGTGGTTGGTCGGGGGTCCTCGAGGAGGCAGAGAACTGGGCCAGAGTGGGAGGGGCGGCCTCATGTCTAAAGTTAGATCATTTTTCTTTAGTAATTTGCCTTTAGAATTTCATTTGTTTGGAATTTCCTGAGATTTTGATCTTGCCAGAAAATTCCCAGAAAAAAAATTCTGGGCAGGTGAAGCCTTTGCATTTGCAACTCAGTCCTTGTCTTTGTTTAAACTTTTCTTTCTTGTCGTCCTTGCTTCAGCCGGAAGGTTGTGGTTCTCAGTTGTCCCGTCACCGCCATCTTCTGGGCCTTATGACATGAGCAGCGTTGTGTGGATGGAGAAGAGGAGGCAGGGCGCAGGAAGAGACTTAAACCCTGCTCCTGCCCAGGCCATCTGGGCGCCATCGCTGGGGCGGGCACGTCTGCTCGGTGAAGAGGGTCAGGGTTGCTTAGGGTGGGTGTGGCTGCCTCGTTACAGCTGATACATTTGTTCTAGGTTTGTCTTTTCATTGAGTTTTTGTGTGATGGTGATTAAATTTAGAATAAAAGCACTTAATTTCACAATTTGCAGAGTATTCTTCTGCCCTGTTTTTAATAGCAGAACCCTTGTGTAAACGACTTGGAGCGGATTGTTTTGCAAGTGAACTGAGAGCCGCTGTGGTCCCAGAGCAGACCTGGGCCCAGAGGGAGTCCTTTTCTTCCTGGTCCAGCATCCTTTGCTCTGCCGTGTGACTTCCTGAAGTGCTCAGAGGAGCTGAGTTCAACAGGGTGCCCCTCCAGACCGCTGGGCTCACCGGTGTCATTCTGCGCACCTCTGTTAGCGTGACTTAAGTGTTTTTAAACATAGACGTGCCTTTTATCAAGACTGAAGGCCTGAGCTAGAACCATTGGGAACAAGGTAGAACTGAAGCTCTAAAGACAGGTTTAGTGGCAGGAGCTCGGGACTGAGGCTGCATTTGTGTGGGGAGCAGAGGGCGCTGCGTCCCTGGAGGCTGGCTTCCCCGGGGCTTGCAGACCCCTAAGCCCATGCGACTGAGCCCCCACCCACAGTTGGACTCCCGGTCCCGCCTCCCCTTCTGTGCTTCCCTGCTCACTACCCTCTCCCCATGGCTGCCGCAGGGACCTAGCAGCTGTTGATCATGTGGGATCCTAGGACATGTGGTGGTGGACGTGTATGTGGGGACCCTACTTGGTGGGTTCTCCCGTGTGTCTCGTGACGCTCTGCTGACTGCTCACTAGCAATGAGCTGCTTTGTCTGGTGTCTGCTCTGTCTTGGTGGCTTTCTACCTCCCAATACCAGGGGAGGGCCGGAGGCTGTCCATAGCCTGCTGTGCAGATCCCGGTTGCAGAGAAGGCCCGAGAGCTGACTGCAGAAGCCATGCTCATCTTTTTGTTTTGTTCTGAAACATCCTTGCATAATCTGTTTTATATTCAGAGCCTTTGGGTGAAAATAAGCCCCATTTTATGAGTCATGGGATACCTGGCCTGTGAGGCTCAACGTTTATTACTAAGAGTGTCCCTTTAAGTCCTCTCTGGGTCAGTTCACAGGACAGTGTTGAGATGGACTTTGGCTGGCACAGGGTCAAGGGGTAACCAAGCGTGGAAGCACAGGCCGTCCCTAATACCCAAATGTGCCATGCTCCAGACGCCTCGCGGTTGACTGTCTGGGACTCTGGGTGTGTTTTCTGTCGAGTCATTGTTGTGAAAGGTGGTCACATTCCACGCTGCCCAAGAAGCTGAAAATCCGGGGTACACTGGGGTCCTTCTGATAATACGGTGTGACTTCCCCAGGTCACTAGGTGAAACAGTGATCACTACCCATAACGTCAACGCCACACTCGCTGTGAGCTTCTGAGCACGACCATGTGCTGGGGAGCGCTCCCCCTCCCCCAGCGCACCCCGACTCCCGAGGGCGCTGGAGCACAGGCTGGATGGGGTGCTGGGAGTTGGGGGTGTGACGCAGCTGGGCCCCCAGGGCTGGAGCATGGAAGTCGCTCCCAGAGATGCTTCTTGGGCCTGGCTGTCTTCCTGACCCCTTTTCGTTTGTTCTGGGGTCCCCAGGGATAGGCCTGCTTTTGTTTCTTAAGTCTTCATTTTTTGCTTTTGATCAGTGTTTTTTTTTTTTTTGCCTCAGATCTATAAATATCTTATCAGTCTCCTTTTTTAAAAATATTTTTTTGTGTGGATGGACACAATACCTTTGCTTTGTTTATTTATTTTCATGTGGTGCTGAGGATGGAACCCAGGGCCTCACGCGTGTGAGGCGAGCGCTCCACCATTGAGCCCCAGCCCAGCCCAGGGCTCCTGTTTTTGAAACAAATCTGTAGTGTTGGGGAAGCTTCTGCAGAATCTGTAACCCCAGGGCTGCGCGGGGTTCCCGCAGCTTCCCATGGACTGAGTAATGTTGGTAGGCTCTGCCTGGTCCCCCACCAGGGGCCACATTGCAGGAACAGTGGCTTGAGGGGTCACTTGCCTCCCTTGGCTGTTTCTTATTTAAGATCTTTTTTCAAGGTGCTTACATGAGAATACAAGGAACCCGGCTGGGCTCCCTACCTAAAGCTGTAAGACCCTCCACTCTGTTGATTCAGAGTCCAGGACTTCTGCCCCGAGCCGGGTAAACCTGTGGTCCGATGACTCTGTCTGTGCCTCACATGGTAACAAGGAAGTTGACCCCTTTTATTTACTTATTGTACTGAGGACTGAACCCAGGGTGCTTGACCACTGAACTACTGAGGTATATCCCCAGAAATACACCCCCACCCCCACTTTTTAAATTTTTCAAATTTTTTGCAAACAGGGTTTCATTAAGTTGCTGGGGCTTGACCTCAATCCTCCTGCCTCAGCCTCCCACGTAGCTGGAATTACAGGTGTATGCCATTAGACCTGGTTGGAAGTTGACCTTTTAGAACAATGATCAGTAGCACAAGGCAGTCGCAGAGGGGACCTGGAGCGGATCTGAGTGGCACAGCTGGACCTGGGCCTGGCAGTGTGGTGACAAAGTGGTTTATCTCTAGAGCTCTCATCTCCCACAGGTATTATATTTCCTTCCCCAAACCCACAGACACTCAGCCTCTTCTCCATTTTTATCGTCTGTGGAACGCTGCCGAAGTGCTGGTGCTGGAGGTGTGGCCCTGGCTGGTGACGATGGCAGCCCTGGGATTTCCGCAGAGAAGTCCTTTCTTGTAAACAGGCTCCTGGAGAGCTGCCTTGAGGTGGGCTGCTCTCTCACCTCTCAGAAGATGGGGACACCTGGTCCACCCACCCAGATAGGGAGGCTCCAGGAGACAGCAGACCCCTGGGGGGCTGAGGACACAGGAACGTGAAGGGCAGCCCCGCGTTCCCACTAAGAAAGTCGAATCCAAGCCACGAGAAGGCTGGGGGTCACCCCCGCACTGCCCCCCGGCCTGGCTCCCGGCCCTTGCCCTGGCGGAGCCCCACTCCGGGAGAAACAGAGCCCAGGAAGACGCTCAGCGCCCAGGCGGGTCCCCAGCAGACAGGTGGCCACGAGGCGGTGGCAGCGGCTGGCAGCAGAAGATGCAGGAGCAGCAGAGCAGTTCTGGAGGAGCGCAGTGGGGGGCTCGTCCAGGCAGCCAGGGACACCTGCACCGCTGGAGGTGCCCTCTGTGACCACAGACAAGAGGGCACACGAAGATGAGTAGGACAGGCCTCTCCCTGTTCAAGTGGGACAGGACATATCACATCTGCTCCCAGGAAAGCCACAGTGAAACCAGGGCCGTGACTGGGCCGCGGCTCCTGCCTAGCAGTGCCAGGCGCTGGGCTGGACCCTCAGCACCCAAACCAGCAAACAAAGGTCCACGGACAACCAGAACCAAAACCAAACAACAAGGAAAACAAGGGCCGAGCCAGCTGGGGGGTCCTCTGAAGGCCAGAGACCCGAGAAGAGAGACCAGTGAGGGCTGATGGCTGCAGTAGAACACCGAGGTGAGAGAAGGGGCTCTGCCACCTAGGATGCCTCTGCTCCACGGCCTGGCGTCACCCAGCCCTGGCTGATCCATCCCCGCGCTGCTCCTGGTTAAAATGTAGAAACAGGAATAGAAGGGACTTTCTCGAAGGGGAGAACGTGTTTATCAAACTGGGCAGTTAAGACACTGAAATGAGTCTTAACTGTTTCTAAAGTACTAAGGTAAGGAAATGGTGTGATAGCTGAACTATTGAGAGGGACTCGTTCTGTTGGCCAGCTGACTGATACCCAGGGCATTCTATCGTTCGGTAGAGCAATCTGGATAGCGTGTTCCTTTCTGGATGAAAACAAGAAGAATAATTCATTATTTATGTTTGCATGTGTTTGGAGAAAATTGTGTAAGAATAGATACTTCTAGACTGTTAACATTGGTTGAGTTCTTTTCGTTGTATTTTGTAGTGGATATGATGGGCATGTTATTTTTATAGTTTTCAAGGGGGAATTTTACATATGAGTAAATCCTTTGGTATTTAGGAATCCTTGTATTTTCTACTGGTCGCTTCTGTACTAAGATCTTTATCGTACACCCCTCGAGCCCTCGGTTTGGGCGTTGGTGGGATACCCCCTGAGCAATCTTGAAATTAGCTAGTAAGCGCCTTCCCTCAGAGTCTGACCTGAACTCTTGTAGGTTGGCATCTAGAACCACTTGGAAGATGGATCCACTTTTCAGAAACTCTTCTCTTCTTGCCCCTCCATCTTTGGCCTTTTTACTCTGCATGCTCAGCAGCTATAGCCAGGGTCCCTGGTCTGTTTCTGTGACCGTCCTTTCATCTTAACCCTCCTGTGAAGACCACCGCTCCCTCCCAGTTAGTTCTCCGCGTCTCCGGTGACTGTGGTTTCCTGGACATGGTCCTGCACCACACTCCCCAGGAAGCATCCAGGAGGCTGTGCTCCGAATCCCTAGCTCACGCTCGGAGCAGCTGTGGCCTCCGCGGCGCGAGCATAGCAGCCACGCCGTGTCGCCAGCGCCTGACCACCGGCGTGTCCTTCCCTCGTGATGACTTGTCTCAAGTCTTTTTCCCCCAGGTGCCCAAAGCTTCTTGTTTTTAACTTTATTTCAAAGTCTAGTACTTTATCAAGCTGTGCTCGATCTTGGCCATTTTGGGACAGCGGCCTCCGAAAATCTTCGTCCTTTTTCATAGTGTGGCTTCAGATCGCTTCGTGTTGGATCACGGAGCAGTCCTGGGCTGCGGGCCGGTGCTCCTTCTGTCCCTGGCTCGTGCCTTCCCCAGGAGCCCAGCCTGTCGGGGAGCTGGGCTCTGCTCCGCATGTCATCGGTTTCTTTCACTTCCTCTCAAGGGCTTTATCTTCATTTAAGATTTTTTTCATATAACTTCAAATTTATAGGAAAATTATAAGAGTAGTATGAGGAATCAATTTCTTTTTTATGAGGCAGGAGGATTGCCAGTTCAAGGCCAGTCTGGGCAACCCTGCCTCAAAAGTAAGAATGAAAGGGCTGGAGATGCAGCTTCACAGTACAGCACCCTTGGATTCGATTCTCAGGACCCCAAAAAAGTAAAAAGAAAAATTTACCCTTATTTTTTTTTTTTTAACATTTAAAGCATTCAGTGTTAATTTGCTC